AAAAATACACATTTATTTTATGGTTTTCTTCAGAAGAAAAGCAACTTGGCACTTTAAGCAACCAAATAATTCTTGTCTTGTCTGATGTGTGCACTTTGGAGATCAAGACATTTTTATGACTGATGAACAGAAAAAATATTATGAGGCCATGAAGAAACTCGGTTCCAAGAAGCCACAGAAGCCAATTCCACGACCAACGGTATGTTACTGATTTTGCAATTTATGAAAATCATGGACCCGTACCAAACATAAGAGGATTGCACCATTTTTAGTGGTCAGCAGGAAACAAATGTTGAAATAAATTCTAATACATTGATCAAAAAAGATTTTTTTTTTCTGTAGGGAGATGTAAGACCCCAATAGGGCCAGTAGGTGTCACTGTGTTATAATAGAAAATAGCAGCATCTCACAGGAAGATGCAATCTTAAAATTGCTTTCATTTCCTGAGTAAAAACTGATTTCACAAACTGCTCTGAGAGATTATTAAAAGCTTAGCGTGAAGATTGCCTGAATTGATATCGAGATGTTAATAAAAGTTCTTCTTAATTAATTTTTGTTCTAAAATGCTAGTTTTAAGTTTAATTTATGACAGAGGAGCTTAGTATACAAAGAACAACATTTTCATTGCCTGGTTTGGAAACGTTCACTGACCTTCTCGGTGTCTCTCTGACAGAACCCGGTCCAGGGCGTTGTGTTCGATTTCATCAGCCAGCAGTTTTTTGACATCTTCATTATGGTTCTAATCTGCCTCAATATGGTAACCATGATGGTGGAAACAGATGATCAAAGTGCAGAAAAAGAGGATTTTCTCTTCAAAGTAAATGTGGCCTTCATTGTAGTCTTCACTGGAGAATGCGTATTGAAGCTCTTTGCCTTACGGCAGTATTTCTTCACCAATGGATGGAATGTTTTTGATTTCATTGTCGTCATCTTGTCAATAGCTGGTAGGTACAATATCTTACAATTGTTTTATCAAAAAAAAGAAAGAAAAAAAAGAAATCTTGTACTAGTTATATTACATGTTTTTTTTTTTCTGATTTCAGGAACAATGCTCTCAGACATAATTGAGAAGTATTTTGTATCCCCAACTCTCTTCAGAGTGATCAGACTAGCCAGGATTGGCAGGATTCTGCGCCTCATTAAAGGAGCAAAGGGCATTCGGACACTTCTCTTTGCCCTAATGATGTCACTTCCTGCCCTGTTCAACATTGGCCTCCTGCTTTTCCTAATTATGTTCATCTTTTCCATATTTGGCATGTCAAATTTTGCCTATGTCAAGAAAGAAGCTGGAATTGATGACATTTTTAACTTTGAGACCTTTGGTGGTAGCATTATCTGCTTGTTTCAGATTACAACATCTGCTGGTTGGGATGGGCTTTTACTCCCAATGCTGAACAGGGAACCTCCAGACTGTGACCCTGAGTTTGAGAATCCAGGCACAGATGTAAAGGGTAACTGCGGAAACCCGGGGATGGGCATGATGTTCTTCTGCAGCTACATCATCGTTTCGTTCTTAGTGGTGGTCAACATGTACATTGCCATCATCCTGGAGAACTTCAATGTGGCTCAAGAAGAGAGCGGTGACCCACTGTGCGAGGAAGACTTTGAGATGTTCAATGAAACTTGGGAGAAGTTTGACTTGGATGGAACAATGTTTATTGAGTACAGTCGACTTTCAGATTTTTGCGACACTTTGCAGGAGCCTCTCAGGGTCGCCAAACCCAATCGGCTTCGTCTGATTGGAATGGATCTGCCCCTAGTTATTGGGGACAGGATCCACTGCTTGGATGTTTTGATGGCTGTTACACAGATGGTACTGGGAGACACAGTGGAGATGGCAGCAATGCGGGATAGCATTGAGGCTAAGTTCATTCTTAGCAACCCCACAAAAGACTCCTTTGCCCCAATTACCACAACGGTACGCCATAAGGAAGAGCAACAAGCTGCTGTGGTCCTTCAACGAGCTTATCGCAATCATCTTCTGAAGCGCTGCATACACCATGCTGCTTTCATGCACAGATTGAAGAGGATTGGTAGAAATTACAACAGTGATGATCCACCTGAAAAAGAGGGGCTGCTTGCACGAAGACTGGGAGTTCTCTATGGAAGTAATGTAGACCTTGCTGATGAAATGGAGCTTGAGGCTTCAGAAACTCTGACAAGCCAAGAACCTTTTAATACAGACTGCGAAAGGGCCCAATGTCTTCAGGAGCCTCCTGTGCAGAATATGATTGTGGTTCCTGCTGAAATAACCAGTGAGGAGTTATTGCATTCTGCCACCTACCAACATCCCTTAGCCTTACAAGCAAATCTGAAAGAGCCGCTTGTATGACAAACAGATGAAGTCGGTGTTTTATATCAATGCACAAAGCAACAATATTTATACAAATGTTCACAAATTTCCCACTTTATAAATACTTACAACAGCTTAGACCTTCCTGCTACCTACCATTTAAATACTGGTTCTGGTTTATTGAAGGCCTGTCTTATTCAGGTTAAAAACACAACTGAAGTTTCTTGTGACAATAATCAATGAAGGAAAAAATAAAGTCATTCAAAATTAAGTTCCGAACTTCTAAAGAAAATCAACAATTTTATTAAATGTATATTTACCATTCGACATCAAATATTTTTAGATTTATCTCTATAGAGAGATACCAGTCTGGATTATAAATTTCACATTTAATTATACTAAATAATTTCACATTTCAAAAAGCTGTTGTATAAATGACCAGGACTGTGCCCCATGGTGTGGTCTCAAAATCAAGTTTAAGGTATTGATGTTATTTTTCATATCAAATTTAACTTTAAGATTGTTAAAATCATATTTTCATAGAAAGTTTAAAACTGCAGCCATGAATGGATGAAATGATCCAATCATTATTAAGGCTGTTTTGCTTTTCTTTATGCCCCTATTTAGCTATCTTCTTTGCAATACTTGCATACCCAGAAATAGTTAGGTCCCCCAAAATCTTAATCTTTATTCCCACCACTTTCAACTTTTAGAAACCTCAGACTTTCTAAGTTTCTATTCAGCAACAAACTAAGGTTCATACTCTTACCATGAAACAACACAAGACAACTTCAGTGTGAGAACTGCAAATGTCCAATAGTTGACAGATGCATATTTTTCCTGCTTAGAATAAAGGGGATTATTGCATTGTTTCAGATTGTACGTTTCAATTTTACAAGCTTCTGATCATCAAAATCTACAAGAAAAATCTCAAATTCTTTTGTACATTTGTAAATTAGTATGTAAGAAAAAAAAGGTATGCACTATATAAAATCTTTACCTGTTGAACTTATTACAGTTGTTTTAAACTAAAAAGGAAAATGTTTTCTTAAATTCTTCAGAGATATGTATCTGTCTTATAAAATGCTGTTATGCTATTGTTTGATCTGTTCTTATCTAAAAAGCAATTGAACTCATGGCAGGATAAAGGTTTTGACACTGTCTGTAATTTTGATGTTAGCTATGTCTACACAGTGTTTAAACTGCTTTTCATTTAAACCCTTTTTAGTGTTTATTAGCAATACTTTTATGAAGATACTTTAATATCTGTTGTACATTTGTAAATACCCTCAGCTGCAGACTTTGTATATAAAAAGGTTTTAGAGTTATTAAACCTTTTATGCAAAACATGTGCAGTCAATGGTTGGCTTAGTCAAATTATGACTCTAAAATTAAGAGAATACATCGGTTAAAAATTACAGCCACAGAGAAATATATGTAATTATTAGAAGCACTAAAATTAAGATTTGAGCAAAGGTCTTCAGCTTTCTTTTATTGTTTTTTTCCCCTTCAAACGAAAAGGACAAACTTTCTTATAAATTTTCAAAGCGTGATCTCAAGAAAAGGTTTTCCAGACTTTTGCCATACTAAGCCCAAATCTAAAATTTGATGTATTTATCTGTGTCATGAAAGGATATGTCCTCATGTCTGTCCTAATGTGTAAAGGTCACTTGTGTAAGTCTTAACTGAGTTTCAAATGTCTTACTGCAAACATTTGTCTCTGTGCAGAAATGGTAGACACTGTGAGTAAAGTGCTGCTGTAAATAATTTCTATTCAACACATATAACACAAAACAATTCCATTGTAACCAAGAAAAAAAAAGAAAAAAACAGTAAAAGGTGTTTTTAAATGTAGGCATATTACAAAATGTCCCAAAGTATTATAAACGTGGCTATTGCTCTAGTTGTCTGATATGTCTAAGATATGTCCAGTGTTCTGCAAAACATGACTAAACTATGCACTTTCAGAGTTTATAACTTTTGTTGTTACAGTGCACCACGCAAATCCCCCTATGTTCTTATTTTTATTTTATTGATTTATTTTTTTGTTTAAATGTTGAGCTTGTTTAACATTTTGGCTTGGTAGAAGATCAGAATAAGCAAAGGGTACAGTTTTTCATTTGCGGGGCCTTCTGTGATATGCTATCTGCAACATTTAAGCTTTGAAATGTGACCCCAAGCTCTGCTCTTTGAAGCTGAGACTCTGCTGCAGCTTGTCCCCCGTAGTGATGATTTGGTCACATTCACTGTGTCCTCTGTTTACATTTCTACCAAGAGAGAGAGAAAAAAAATAAATAAATCTCACGGTAAATTTTACAGCTACACCCAAAATCAACAGTGCGTTTACTAATTTTTTTTCTTTCTTCTTCTGTATATTTTTATTTTCTTATTGTAAAAAGTGTTACTACACTGTTAGAATAAAAAGTTTCTTTTAGGTTAAACCAGGCTGTGGGCTCATGTTGTCAGGACTATTTTTAGTTTTTTGTGAGAAATCAATCCTATACTTTGCTGCCCTCCAGTGGTGGTAAGCTTGGTAACTTAAATTGACTTTTAGGCTATATATGCATCACATATTTTATGAGAAAAACTCTTTAAAAATATATATGAACTCAAGATAAATTTTATATAATGTTTTTATTTGGTGCTACATTAATGATCTTATTCACATGACGTGAGGTTAAGGTTAAGGCACAGACTTACTGTATTTTTGTTAGTTTTTTAAGTATAATAGAGTATAAATGGACGTTTAAAAGTGCACTTAAAGAGTGGCAAAGTTCTGTTTTCAAAAAGTATCTGTACTGTATGTGGAAATGTATATTTCACTCTGTACCCATTTAAATTCTTTCTAATCCATGCTTGAGCCAGTTAATTTGATTCTGACCCCTGATCAAAGCACTAAAATAACTCCCATAAAGCAGACAGTAGATCAGTAAAATGATCGCTTCAAATCAGCAATTATTAAAGTGGGTCAGAAACATCCAGCTGGACTGAATGAACTGATGTGTGATTGAGTACAAATGAAATTGCAAAACAGCAAAATGAGCTCTGCCTTTTTATTATTCATGGTACAGGCACTCTGAAAACAGTGTATTTTTGCTTCAAAGTATAATTTATTAAAATTCATGAAGACTTTAAGATTAATAGAATTAAAAGGGGACAAAACAAATATTACAATTCCTTGTTTTCTTTTTTTTAGGAGAGTCCCACTAAAGAGTTTGATAAAAACAGAACGATCAAATTTGTAATGTCAGAAGTGTTGGGTTACAATCAAGGTGCATTGTTCATTTGCCTCTACTACTGCAAAGCTGAAATGCAAGTCCATCTTTGAGGAGGGAGCAGCATTTAAATTTGATTTATCTGGTTTTGCCATATTCTGAAAACTGATAAAGCTAATGCAGTGAATACTAGACTGGTGCTGCACAGAGCAGAGAATTAGGGAAATGTGATCAGCTTGGCTGACTTGAAAACTTCACTCTTGACTGGTTATGGCTCTTGCATAACAAGCCTACCAGTTTTCAGGCAAACCTGTTTCTATGCCACCATTCAAGGCAAACTTGGATACAGATAATCCAAGCATGGCTTGAAAGAAGCAGTAAAATGATAATGTAACACAAAAATAACTGATTTAAAAAACTGATAATAATCTGATGACTAAGGGATTCTCAATTGCTTTACATCTGATTTTTGGACTGACCGCATGTCAGGGGTTGATGTTCTTGTTCAGGACTCTGGCAACAGAAGACATCCCTGAATAGGTTCAGGGTCCTGGTTCAGGTCCAGGTTCAGGGTCCTGTAAGATCTTTTCGGAGGAGAAATTTTAGTAAGGTCACCTTCTCCATGGAAGAGGAGGTGTCCATGGAGGACATGGTGACTGGACACCTCCTGGTGACAGATAGAGAAGAGGGTGGTATTGTCTAGAACTGTGCTAAACTGGTTCAGATCATTATTTTGGCTGCTGTCTGTCAAACAGGAGCACACAATATTAATAAAATGTGCAATGTGATACATTGCTGGTGAAGTTGATGGATGCTGTTGAATATGACAGTAGGAATTCCAATAAGCAACCAAATATTTAGGCGAAACATGTCTTCCTGCTCTGGATAAACTGCAAACACATATTGTGGATAAAAAGTAGTCCGTATAATGTTAAGGATATGATTCTGTGTCTTTCCTCTATCTCTTTTATCTGCTTGCATGCTCGCATGCACACATTCATATGTTATGTTAAGGAAATGAGTTCACAGGGGAATACCTCTTTAGAGCGAAGCTTAGTTAAGTGCCAAAAGGAATAGAATCATGTTGTTTAAGGTCACTCTGCTTGCCTACAAGTCTATTTTTTTGTTGTTGTTGTTTCTACATATTACTACTTATTTAGCTTTAATACACTGAACTGGTAATTTTAGTTACATCAACATAGTTTATTAAAATTGTTGCATCTGACGACATCTGTCGTTTGCTGTAGTTCCCTAATGACTTTACCAGAACACTTTACCTCCTTAAACGCGTTGCGCCGCAATAAATGGCAAACCTCACCAACTTTCTCACTGGAACAGTGAGCTTTAAACCACAGAATACTTAGTGAATATTTATGAAACTCAAAATGTTTGTTGCAATGTGGTTGTTTTTTAAAAGAATACTTTAACAGCGATAGGTCGTACAAACCAAAAGGAAAAACAAAACAGCATGTCCAGCTCCAAATGGCTAAAATAAAAGATCATTAAGACTGTGAGGTAGAATAGTCAGAGGCCAAAGGTGATTGTGATTAAGCTGCTCATGCTTGAAAGCCTTCCAGCGTGGCTGATTAAAAATAATTCTGCAAAGAAGAGTGGCTCCACAGTGGTGTAAAAGACTCATTGCCAGTTAAAACAACTTAAAGTTAAGTTGCTATGTGCAACAAAGGGCTCACAAACATTTTTTTCTTTAGATTTCCTAGATTCAATGGCTATAATAATTTGCTTTGAGTTTTAAAGGAACTTATTTTTTTCAGGTTGTAATATTGAAAGTGCTCTGTTCAAAGTTATTTTGGTTTCTTACTCTCCTCCCCTCATTTGCATGAGGTTGAAGCTTGTCAGACAGACTCCACACCCACTGTAGTAAGGGCTTAATTATTTTTTCAGGCTGCAGAAAGACTTCCACGCACTCGCGGTGTCAACTGTCAAGTTAGTTTTTCCTCTTGCATGTCATCATGCGTTGGACTCTAGCTGGATGCTTTGGATACGTGTTGATAAGTATATCAGGTAATTGTAAACTTTTGTCACATGGTTCATTTCACTTGTTAACAAACTCGACCTGTAGGACCTGTAATTTTTTTGCAGCACCTGAAATAAATGTTAGCAAATTTAATCTTGTTCCGGTAATAGTTGTGTATTTTTATAGCTACAATGTCATATAATCATATTTTTTAGGTCTGTTTAACCACAGCCTTTAAGGCACACAAGAGTTTTGCATGTTATTTTTACTGTGACTTCCTGGCCATCTGGAGGGGAAAAGAGGAAGTTCTTGTCTGAAACAAAGAATATTATGTTATTGTCATATTGATGAGCTTCTTTGAAACTATTTTACAATAACTGAAGGACTTTGTTATAAGCATGTTTTTATCCTTTAAGGGAAACAATCAACTCATTTTGTTCACTCTAGAAACTATGTTGTGTTTATTGTCACTTAATTGGTGGTTGTTTTCCTAAACTTTGAGTCACTCTGTAAATAAAATACAGAATAAAACTGACATCATTTTTAGACATCATGCATATCTGTGTCAAGTTATCATTTAAAGAATTCACATAAAACAAAGTCCTCATGCTTTATAACCCATTCAACTACTAGTCATTTATGAAGTAAAATAATTTTATTCATTAAGGAAATGTTTGTATTTTTGCTTTTGCTAATCAGTTTTAACATTTTGGTAAAATGGACTTAGGCAAGATTTTTGTTTGCTTAACTGTTTCGTAAAATTCATAATTTAAATAATAATCATTGAACACTGATGTTGCCTACAAGTCTTTCTGCTCCAGTAAACTGCTCTATTCACTGAATATCTGGTTGAACATTGGTAAAAAATGTTAGTTTTAAAATATCAGAAATGATAATAATCTTTTACAATTAAAAATGGATATTTATGGGATTAATTTGTTATCTTTTGCTTATTTCCATTAATTGAACAAAATCACCCCCAATACTTGGATAGAGGATTTATGTGGATTTTCTGACAGAATTAATCAAATAATTTTGAATGTTTGTTTCTTGAACTGACGAATTATCCCAGGTGCTTATATCCCAGGACTAAATACAGGTGATCAAAAAAATGTTTAAATCCTAATGTTTCAAATTATTATTGTGTCTCTGTATTAAATGAGATAGAAGTCTAGAGTCTTGGATTTCTGAGTTTCTTTAGCTATTTACCATATTGTGCTTTTTTTTGTTCTTTTTTCTTATCTCTTCTGGCATTCTCTTTAAACTGTATTCATAAATGAGACAGATCTCTTGAGGCTAAGTTGAATGGCAAACTCTAACTTTTTCAATTTCTTGTAACTTTTTCTGTTGTCTGCTCAGTCGCCCTGCAGATCAGCCAGAAACCCAGGTTCTATGGATTAAGACCTCATAAGAAAGTGCCTATTTACTGCCAAGTCTCACATCAGCATCTGAAAAGCGCAGTGGAGTGGCACAAAGCTGACAAATACGGCGCAGACAAGAACAAGATTGTGCATGATGAAAGAATTCGGTTTGAAAGTCAACATATGGTCCAAAACGCTTTTCTTTACTTCATGGACCTCAAAGTAGAAGACAGAGGAGTGTATTACTGCTCAGTAAATGGGACTTTTGGCCCTGGAACTGAAGTCCAAGTAGTCAGTAAGTGGACAAGACTCTGTGTGATAGATATAAATAACACACAGACAAAACACACCTCTAACTTCTCATTTTTCACTCAATGTTAGGGCCCTATGACCCCATCAAAGCCCAGTACAGAAGCCAGATGAAGGATGGCCTTATTGTCCTGCAGGGGCTGCTATTGGGTGTTTGTATCGGTGCTTATCTACTGCGGAGACAAAATCTGGTACGAATTGCTTTCATCACACTGTTCTTAACTCAACAACAAAAGCTTATGAGTCATATGTATTATTAGATGATTCCCCCCGCCCACCAATCAGACATAAAGAGGTTAGAAAAAGAGAAAAGCAGTTTTTAATTTGGTAGTTTCACATAACTATCATCTGGTGTTCTAACACATCACAGATTGAAATCTAGTGACTTTGGAGGACACTGGGGTAGAGTGAACTATTTATTATGACAAGAAACTAGCTAGAGATGATCTGAGCTTTGTGACATTATATATTATCCTGCTGGCAGTAGCCATCAGAAGACCTGGCCATAAAGGAATAGACGTATTTAGCAACAACACACAGATTCATACATATTAGATTAATACAATTAGGGGTATTATTTGTATTAATTTAGTGCCAGGGTCACTTGATGGAGTTGTTGTGGTCAACATAAATTGATGTGCAGGTTATCCAAGCAAATCTTAGGGGTGTATCTGACAAATTCCAGTAAAAGTATCAATAATTTTACAGTAGCACTAAATCTACTGAAATAGTTTTAGCAGACACTTCTGATGTTACTTTATTTTCAGACTGGCACATTTAAATATTTATGGTTCCATTTCCACATTTATTTAAGTCTAACATAGATGAACACATATTTATTCATTTAAAAATTGTTTAATAAATATACACACTAAATGTGGCTCATTTATACTGCTGTGTATCTATGCATATTTTATCATCTTATAACTTACATAGTCTTTATATATTATATAAAGACATTGTGGCACATTTGATGGGCCTGGGTGTATTGAATATATAAGCATTCTGGCCTTGACTGTGCTCCAGAGGTTCTCTTTTCTTCATGACAATACACAATTTTTATGTTTTATTTTTATAAAATACATGGATGGGTATATTTATTGCCAGTACTCATAAATTGCACGCCAAATATCTAATGCAGCTTCTTTCTTCTCTTTCATATAGGTGAAAGATAACGACAGCTTATATGAAGAGCCTGAGACTGACCACATCTATGAGGTTTGTTTAACCTGGTTTTACATTTCCTTTGTTCGTTTATTTTTCATAAAGCCATGTCACATTCAAAACTCTTCACAGATGTGCCTTTTTTACATAACAAGTACAAGTGTAATCTTGACAGCCAACAGGAAGCTCTGTCTCCCTGCATCATTAACCTTTTAACCACAACTGCTTTGTTTGTTCTTCATCCTTTGTTGGAGCTGCTGGCAGCTTTGTGGCTGGACTACACTTTCCCTGTCTCCAGAATTGATTCACAGTAACGTTAAAATTAGTATCTGTAGATTAAGAAATACTCTGTAACAGGGTTTTGTTGATATAAAGAGAAGTCACTGACAATAGTTGTACAATGAAGCATCTAATATATATGATTTTACAGCAAAATTATAAAACATTAGGGATCTACAGACTTACTGTTGAGTAAGAATACTGTTGTAAATGGTTAAATTTAGTTACTTTTATTGGACATTGTTCATTTAAATATGAACCGCTAACTTTAATGCAGATATATTCCTAGAACAATATTTTATTTTAAGAGTGAGTAGTTGTTGACTCTGGTTACTTAATATTGCTGTTGTTAATAACATTATTCTATGTGTTTTTCTTATAGTGCAACATAAACCTGATGCAACATGAGCTAAAGTAAAGATAAGACATTAGAGCACCAAACTGCTGAGAATTCAACAATTTTTCTGTGAAAGTAATTTAGTCTATAACAACGAACATTGCTTCAATACTGCTGTGAATTCTAAATGAACTCTATTATCGTTATTATTAATGATTATTTATTTGTAACATTTGGTCAGTGTGAAGAATATCTAATTTTTTCTATTAATTTTATTCTATAATATTGCATCACATTGTATTGTATTCTAGATTTCTAGTCCAAAATTACAGACTAGCCTTTAAACGTTTTTGGTTGGCAGTATTATTTATTTATTTATTTATTTATTTATATATTTAGCGAAGTCTTGACAATGTTTAATGTTGGGGATTTATACATCTGCTGAAAGGTAGGTGATTCCCAAGTAGACTTTTTATTATCATTCTGTTATTTTCTTGGAAAAAACAAAGTGGTACTACCCAGAATGACCTTTTGTAGAAAGGTCATTAAAGATGATGCAAATATTTGTTGTTAATGTCAGCATTTCTTTTTTTTTTCTTTTTTTTATATATATCTAGCAGGTGCACTGTCTTGTGTCTGAGTCATTTGTGCTATCTCAGGCACAAGAGCGTGCAGCTGCTCGATGCTAGAAGTGCACTCAAAGATAAAGGAAAATCTTTGGTTGGCTCTTCTGAATATACATTGGAATCAGATGCATATATGCAAGTGAATTAATTTAATTTAATCCCCAATTTCAGGGCTTGGCCATTGAGGCATGTGGAGGAGGTCTGTACGAAGATCTCACGGCGTACGCTCGGGCCGAAGGAGCCGAGGCCCCATGGGAGTGAGAGCGACGTCTCCTGCCGACCCTTTCATATGGAGTAGAGTCATAATTTTCAGTTGTGCAGTGAAAAGCAGATAGACAAGCCTCCTGTCGGGGGTGACTATGTCTGCGTTTTACCCAGAATAGTGCCGTTTTTGTCATATGCTTAAACGATTTATTTCTACACTTCCAGCATTTGCCCAACAAAATAACAGCAGCTGACAGTTCTGACCCAGCAGGGCAGAAATATCACTGCTAACTAAATTCAAAGGACATCGACACAATTCAAACAACAACAAAGGACTTTCATTGGTGGTAGTTGTATGAATGTATGAATTGTGTCCCAGGGTGGGTTTGTAAATGTCATGTTTTTTTTTTAAAAAAAAAACATAACATTTCAAGTTTGATGTCTCTCATCGTTTTAGATTCTGGATTAGGAACGATCAAATGATTCTTTACAAAACAGTAATACAGTCTTTTAATTAATGACCTGAATACTGTAATCTCAGGTAGCATGCTTTTGGCTGATTTTTGCGTTGATAATATTATACATTTTCATGTTGATTGTGAAAGAAATTGTTTGCTCTAACATCTGAAACTTCTGCAGTTTTTTTTCTTTTCTTTTTTGGTGCTTTATGTAATTATTTGATTAACTTTGTTGTATCTCATTTTGTTACCATTTTGTCACATGATAGCGGCATACAACTGCTCTCAGCCTCAGCGAGGCTGACTTCATGTTAAACATCTGTGTGTAACAGAAAACAGATCTCAGGTTGCTTCATGGGGTGATTTTTATTGTTTTTAAATAAAATATTGTTTTAAAAAAAAGTTTATATATATAAATTTGTACCTCAGAATATATTTGGTAGTCAATTCTATGTTTTTTAATGCAAAAATAAGCAATAAATTGATGCATAAATAAACAAATAAATAAACAGATTGTTGTTGGAGAAGCTGAGGCTTCAGTTAGAGATGAACAGAGAAGAAACCAGATGGTCCGCTCTGATTAGATGGAGTTTGATTTCCCTCCGGATCAACTCCCAGGCTTCAGCACTGTGGCCCTGTTGAATAAGTAACACATCAAAACTGTTGATTATGTTCTAATTAGCCATCTAATTAGAAAGGGAGACTCACCATCTGGCCAAACACGCTTTTTGAGAGTCTCTTGAAGTACATGTGCAGCCTCCTGTTTGTCCTTCTTGGGTTTCCAGCCTAAAAAAAGAAAATAATAAAATGAATATTTATTCATTAAAAGGTTTAAGGTTAACCTTTCTATTTATGTGGGGTTAACACCTCCAGTATTCAGACGTATTTTGCCTTATGGCATTCTCAAATGTCAGTGTGTTTTTACCGGACCTTTATGTGAAAGACCAACACAAAGGAGCATTAAAATGTGAAGTGAAAAGTGAAATGATATATGGTTTTTAAATGTTCTTACGCATAAAAATCTGACAGTATGAAGTGTGTTATGCATTATATTGAGCCTCTCTACTCTGAAGTAAAATCCAGTGCAAACCCACCACCTTCAGAAGTCCACGATTTAGCAAATAAAGTAAACCTGTGGTAACTCTGGAGGAGCAGCAGAGATCCACAGCTGAGATTGGAGAATCTTTGAACAACACAACTATTTGTTGTACCATTGAAAAAACTGGGCTTATAAAGAGTGATGAGAAGAAAACTGTTTTACTTTGTGAATGGAGCAAGTGAAATAAATCAATTTTTCAGCAATGTTCTAATTTTTCAAATAAGGCATTGCAAGATGTGAAACTTGTTTGAAGTGACCCTCTATCTAATTTGACTGAGATAAGGTTGTCTTATAAAAAGTAATTGGAATAGCTCTCAGTCTGTAGATCTTCAAACATTGTCAGAACCCCATCACAACTTGTTGGCTAATTTGTCATTCTGTAACCTTTTCCTTCAACGTGACAATTAGGTGCCATGTTGTTTTGGTCTATCTGTAAGCCACATTATTGTAGAATCAGGTGTGGTTATATCATGGCAAAACTTTATGTCAAAGTCAGATGTGAATGCTGCTGCATGATAAATCAGAGGTTTACAAATGAATTGTACTTACGCAGAGCTGCAGTTCATCTGCCTGTTTGTTGACAACATTGAGGAAGTGCTCCATTGTCACCTCCTGCCATGATGAAGAGCTGTCATCTTCCTCAAACAGGGCAGAAACCTCCTTCAAAACCTGGACAGTGAAGGCAAGTTTACCCTCCGCCTGAAGCAAGGAAGAAACCATTCACAGGCTATTACATGCAAATAATCAAAAATAAATATAAATTTTTGATGTTGTAGATGCCTTACCGATGCTCCTGAAGCCTGGTGGTAGAGAGGATAGGGGAATGGCGCAATGTTCATCTCGGAGTCCTGATTCACGTAATTGTAAGCCTGCATCATATAAAGGCATAAATATTATAAAATACTCTGAACTTATCAAATATTAAATATTTTTGTAAAATAATAATTAAAAAATCTGGTCTCTTACCATCATATCCAGCAGAGTTAATGAGTTTGTGCTGTACTGTCTGAATTTATGCTCCATCCACCTGCAGCTGAGCGTGGAGCATGCGCAGAACAGACAGAGAAAAATGCAGGCGAAGAAAATTCTGCTCAGCATCTTGATTTTTATTAATTTATTTATTGATTTTTTTTTTTTTTTGTATATATAAAGACAAATTTGCCTTCAACGTGAATCAATTCCAGATGCCTCTGGGTGTCCTTGTGGATCTGACCCGCAGGGGCCCTTTTAAATTAGGACGCTCAGATTTCATTTTCGAAGTACGTGCAGCTTTACTCGGAACGTCAACTTCTCACCTCAGCGGTAACAGATTTCGCATTCAATTAGCAAAACGTAATTGGTGATTAATTTGAATATTTATAGAAGGAGCTGCAGCACGCACTCAAAAAGGCTTGGAGTCCAAATTATGACATCATGAAAAATATGTCATAATTTACTTAACCTCATAAGTAAATGTTTTATTTATTTATTTATTTTTACACTTTTGAGTATAAGAAATACTGATTTATGTTTTTAATCAGTGTCTTATTTTATGTTATAGCCTATGTGGAACTGCCAACCTCAGTAAACGTTGTGAAAGGAAAAACAAAAAATGTTTGTTTTTTTTTGTTTTTGTTTTTGTTTTTTTAAGAGTTAGAAAAAATGGTGTGGCTACATAAGCAACAATGTGTCTTTACATTCCCGCTGGTGCCATAAACGGGAACTTCCTGCGGAGAAATGAAAGAGTCTGCGGCCTGTGACGCGCTGACGCTCCTTCCTTATCGTTCGGCGGTATTTCACGTTGTCCCATCTGAAACACGCGGTGTGAAAACAAAACACTGCAACTCGTTCAGACGAGTTCGTCACTCCACCTCTAATCAGATTAAAGAACATTCTACCAATTTGGCAAACTGCATTAATGTCTGCTTAGTTTAAATATATATCAAATTTTTTGGGGGGAATGAATATAATACGTTTATTGACATTAACCCAAATTAAACGACATTGTCTTACTCAGCACATTAATTATCAAAAAGTTGATCAATTCATTCAATTCATCAACTTTTTGTTTGCTTTACTTTTATTGCCGTGTATGCGAAGTGTGAAAATGTAAATTAAATAACATATTTGCAATGAAAATATAAGAGATAATTTTTTTATGATTATCAATCTAATATTTTAGGTGGGCTTCAAATAAAAACATACTATTAATAATACATTTGTTCATGCGCCCTCTGGTGGTGAAAAACAGTAACTGGATTGATTCGACGCCGCATCCAGACTAACAAAATGAGAAATTTGAGACAATGACATTAAAACTGAGCCAAATTTTAAGTTGTGTCGAGCTGTTGTGAAAACAGAGCATAGATTTAATACTCGAAAGTCAGGCAACAGTATAATTTCATAACATACTTTAAAATGAATACATGTACTTTGATCAATGGAAATTTTAAAACAAAATCCAATTGTTGATCTATTCCTAATAATGTACATTAGGCCTAATTACCAAATTTCTGGATGCAGATGTAATTCGCTTAAGTTGTAAAAGATTGCATACGTTTGAAGAAATATATTTTCTAATTAACTCTGAAGCAAACATAAACACTACCAAAATAGTATTTTTACTAATTACCTGTGCCATGTGAGCTCAACAATTTATGTTTTCCTGGTGTTTGCTGATTATTTTTTTATTTTAAACATTGCAGAAGGTGGATGGTGTCTTTAAAAACCCTTGTCCTGGAGCAGAGCTCACTACATCATAATAGTTTAAAACAATTAAAGAAATACTAAGATAATATATGATGACAATTAAATAAACGTGCCGGCATCGAGCCGCACGTTCTGATACCACTTTTGACGGTGGGCAAGCAAGTCAGTCATTGCTCGGCAGGCCCCAATTTTTTAAATTTTTTTTTTGCAATTTGGAGCCCATCCCTTAGCATCTTTACGTTTCCAAAACATTATTTGTCAAATTTGAATACATAAGCTTAAGAAATAATTGTTTAAAAAATTGGGAGAATTTAAACCCATTTTGTCCCACTTCTCAATAATTACTGTTAGCATATCTACTTATTAAAAAAAAAAAAAACACCAGTCTCAAAAAGTTAATTAGGATGAAAGATCTTAGAAAAACGCACATTATGCACAAATGGAGAGATTGTGGAACTGTGGTGGAACTTCCTAGGAGTCACCTCGACCAAAATCTTTCCAAGGGCAGATCAACAACTTCTCCAGGAGACTTTAAAAAATCCATAGCGACATCTAAAGCACTACAAACTGCATATGATTCAACAAGAAGACTGGGCAGAAAGGGCATCCAAGGGGCAGTTGCAATGGCAAAACCACTGTCGATCAAAAAGAACACAAGGGCCCATAAACTTCTGATTAAAACATCCTGTGGACTCTTGAGACAAAAGTGGAACATCATATTGACATTCCAACATTATTGACAGAGAGGTGGTTTGGCGCTGCTTTGCTGCTTCAGGACTTGAATGAGCTGCTTTGCTGCTTCAGGACTTGAATGAGTTGCTGAAAGTGGGATTCATAAATTCTTCTAGAAAATCCTGACACCGTCACTTCAACCTCAAGCGAAACCCAAGTATCACAGTAATCCTCAGCACACCATGAATTCCACCTCTGAATCAGTCAAAAATAAACAAATTAAGCTTTTGGAGTGACTTAGTCAGTTACATCCATATTTTTCTTTTATTAAATATTCTAGTTGCACATTTCTGTGCAATTTTGTTTTAATTTTGGGAGAACTGAAAGGCTTCTTCCATACTACTGAAATAAAATGATAGAATAAAACTCAGTCATTTTTGTAGTTTTTATTTCTTAAATCATCTTTATTTCCACAAAAAGAAACAGAAGGAAAAACTAGTTTGGGTAACAGCAGAAGCACTTAAATTAAAAATTAGTAGGTCAATAAATATTTAAGTAATAAATATTTAAATAAAGGTTTGGCCATGTTCATGAGTTTTGGTTGGAGGGCAGCAGAGAGGAAACCAGGTGGTCTACTTTTATTAGACAGACTTTGACTTCCCTCCTGATCAGCTCCCAGGCATCAGCACTGTGGCCCTGAAGACACAACAATGTTATCATTATTATTATGTCACGCAGATTTAAAACATAATATACATATAGCAGCAGAGAGATAATAAAAGACAAACCTTTTTCTTCAGGATTTCATTTGACAGTCTCTTGAAATACAAGTGCAGCTTGGTGTTCTGTTTCTTCGATTGTCCCTGAGCCCCAATCTGAAGCAGGAAAAGAAAAACAGACTTAAGAACTGTACAGTTTAATTGAAGTGTTTCATTGAAAAGCAAAATGAACTTACACAGGAGTGAAGCTCATCAGCCTGTTTGTTGACAACATTGAGAAAGTTCTCCACTGTGACCTCCTGCCATGACGAAGAGCTCTGATCTTCCTCAAACAGGACAGAAATCTCCTTCAGGATGTGGACCGCGAAGGAAAGTTTACCCTCAGCCTGGAACAAGAGGAAGAATAGGAAAACTATGAGATGACTGACAGAATCATTGCTGTCTCATCTACAATATATCATAAGCTGTAGGACTTACTGATGCTTTGGATGCCTGGCTGTACAGATGATCAGGGAAGGCCACAGTGATCTCTTCGCCCTCAGTGCTGTTAGTGATGTTATTCGCCTGCAGCACAAACAGATGCACACATCAGACATAAATACATTTTCATACATTAGACGAACTTCAAAAAAACTCTTCATATCTGGTCTCTTACCATCATATCCAGCAGATTCAAAGAGTTTCCGCTGTACTGTCCGAATTTATGCTCCATCCACCTGCAGCTCAGCGCGGAGCATGCGCAGAACAGACCGAGAAACACACAAGTGAAGAAAATCCTGCTCGGCATCTTGATTTTGTCCTTTAACTAAAACAATAAATAAAGCAATAAAGCTTCTTTGTATAAGAACTCGTGTGTCTCCTGGGATTGTTGTGTTGAAGCGGAGCCGCAGCGGAGCATTTAAAGCCAGATTTCGTTTTCTTAATGTGCATCTCAACGTCATCTGCGGTTTTCAGGTGAGGGCGGCAGAATTCATGTTTGAAAGTATGTGGAAAATAAATAAATACATAGATAAATAAATATATATTTTTTTCTGTTTCCGTACCAGGGTTTGCAGAAACAGACAAATGGAAATTAACCTACTCAATTAATGAAAAGGTCCTAGCATGCATTCACACGGGACAATATCTGAAAAAAAGTCGCATAGGCCTATATACAATACTAAATAAAGAATGAACAAGAAGTGTTTAGTTTCTTGAATAGGCTACATGTGTTTGTATATCTATTCGATTCTCTTGAATATGTCTGTAAAACGTATTTAAGTGAAGACTATTTCTTCTTCTTAGATTATGTCATCTAAATTAACTGAAGCTTGTTTGTACAAAAAAAAAACTGTTGTTTATACAATGTCCTTCCATCTGGCATTATTTTTAGTTTAATTGTGTAAATAACTAAAATAACCATCCGCCAGTTCCAGCTAATACAAAGATGAAATATCATTGGTTGTGAGTGTCAGAGCCGCTTTCGCGTTTCTGAACGTTCCCTGTTCGGCTGCTATCGGTTCCTGTTTATTCGCACAGAGGAAGTGATGCAACTCAAACAGCCTCGCGACACATAGTCGTTCATAGATCAATTAATTAAATATCTGTAAGTACGCAATAAAACATTCGAAGGCGCATTCATTTACTTTTTTATTTTTTTAGAAAAACAATTTAATCTCTCAGAAACTTTGCAACATTGTTTCAGTCTCTCTCATTGCACATTTATTAACAAAGGAGGATTGCATTTTATTATAAAGCCAAAATATATAATAGTGTATGATTTTCTGCCGTCTGTCTTTTTGATAAGGTGACATTTATCGACCGTTTTTATATTTATATAAATTTCTTTCTCAGCCCTTCCGATGTCCATTTCGTGCCGTAAACAAGCCATTTTGTTCCTGGCGTACTTTACCATTATTTATCCATGACACGATTTTTTGCACATTTACTCGGTAGTCTATGCTTGATTTTAGGTTTCCCATTTTGGTAAGATACACAAATAAAGATGAGATGAAAAGAGGAGACGCACAACGAACAAAACAAAAATAACTATTTTTAAACAGTTCTAACTACTTAGTTGTATATTACTGGAAGCATATACAACAGAAACGTACAATTTCCAAAGAATATATAATCGTTTAACTCTACTTAATTTCCTACCTCAGAAATTTTTTTTTGTTTGTTTTTGTTTTAATTGACTGTGTGTAAATTTCAGGGGGAAAAAGTTTCATTAAGTGTCAGGATAATGAATATATAAGAACAGGGCATATAAGATAATAATCTATTAATACAAGCTTTGTAGCATTTTTTTTTAAAAATCCGTTTGAACCTCTTTTTAGATCATTTTTGTATGTCACTCGTTCACACGGATTTACACCATACAAGCTGATGAGCTAAACGATGACGTCATACCTTTGAAGTTGTATTTATTATTATTTAGGCCGATTTCAGGTTTTAGGATGTTAACAATAATAATAATAATAATAATAATAATAATAATAATAATAATAATAATAATAATAATAATAATGGTTGCCATTCTCATTGAATGAAAGTTGTTTTAGTTTTTCTCGCCTATTTAAACGTCTAAATTAGAATAAATAGTCACAGCATGTAGTTATTAGTGCGAGGTAGACAAGTTTAAATTCAGTCATGAATAATTGTGAACAACATGCCCACAACCGCTTGTTCCAGCTAAAACAAAGATGAAATATCAAAGTGAGCGTCAGAGCCGCTTTCAGTTTCTCTCCGGTTTCGCTGTCAGTTCATCCACGTGGAGGAAGTGACGCAATTCAAACAACAGCGGGACACCGACTGGTTGTGTCGTCACTCATCTCGAAGTCAATCATCTCACTCGAGTCGAGTTTATTCGCACAGCACGTTTCAGCACCAAGGCAGTTCAAAGTGCGTTGCATCATAAAAAGCATAACGCAGTGACAGATTAGGTAACAAGCAACACGCACTACGTCACATTTTCTCAAACGTCATCATCATCAAAATCATCAGGCCAACACAAATCAAACGCAGCAATCCAAAATAAACTGCAGCTCTAAGCCTGGGGTTTTTAGCCTTGATTTAAAGCAAATAAATCAATGTCAATTGAAAGTAAATTGACATTTACTTATCTAACTTTATTTTCTCCCATTCTGGTGAGGTAGATAAAGATTTATTATTATTATTATTATTATTATTATTATTATTATTATTATTATTATTTCAGATGAAAAAAGAATACTCGACAGCAAAACAACTATTTTTTAAAAATTTCTACTGAAAATAAAATAAACATTACAGACGCATAATCAAAGAAAGTCCAGTCCACAAATAAATAGTTGTTTTTAATGGAAATTGAGTAAATTCAAGAACAAAGTAGTGTATTATCAGGCTAATGGACGTATAAACATGCCTTTTCCCACGATGACCCACGAGGATCAATGTATTTCAATTAAAGCTCACGGCGTTCATCTCGTTTTGAAATGTTCACTGCAGCTTTTGTGGTCTGAAATGTTTGAGCTGTTTCAGACCACAGCCTCGTTTTGGCATGAGTATTTCGCTAGTTCACACGGATTTACACCATACATGCTCGCGAGCTGAACAATGTTCGTTTTCTACCTGCACGAAAGCCGCTGGCTTTTCCCCGCAGGTGAGTCCGGAAAGTGAAATCTGTTCGCTCTGGCTTTAAATGCTCCGCTGCGGCTCCGCTTCAACACAACAATCCCAGGAGACACACGAGTTCTTATACAAAGAAGCTTTATTGCTTTATTTATTATTTAGTTAAAGGACAAAATCAAGATGCCGAGCAGGATTTTCTTCACTTGTGTGTTTCTCGGTCTGTTCTGCGCATGCTCCGCGCTGAGCTGCAGGTGGATGGAGCATAAATTCGGACAGTACAGCGGAAACTCTTTGAATCTGCTGGATATGATGGTAAGAGAGATATGAAGTTTTTTTTTTTTTTTTTTTTTTTGAAGTTCGTCTAATGTATGAAAATGTATTTATGTCTGATGTGTGCATCTGTTTGTGCTGCAGGCGAATAACATCACTAACAGCACTGAGGGCGAAGAGATCACTGTGGCCTTCCCTGATCATCTGTACAGCCAGGCATCCAAAGCATCAGTAAGTCCTACAGCTTATGATCTATTGTAGATGAGACAGCAATGATTCTGTCAGTCATCTCATAGTTTTCCTATTCTTCCTCTTGTTCCAGGCTGAGGGTAAACTTTCCTTCGCGGTCCACATCCTGAAGGAGATTTCTGTCCTGTTTGAGGAAGATCAGAGCTCTTCGTCATGGCAGGAGGTCACAGTGGAGAACTTTCTCAATGTTGTCAACAAACAGGCTGATGAGCTTCACTCCTGTGTAAGTTTACCTCGATTCAGATTGGATATGTTTCATTACAATTTGATGTAAATATGTCTCACGAGGAATTTACAAAACATAATCTATAAACCTGACTTTTCTCTCTAATTATTTCAGATTAAAGGCCATAGCCACATGAAGAAGAGGAACACCAAGCTGCACTTGTATTTCAAGAGATTATCCAACGAAATCCTGGCGAAAATGGTCAGTTTACATTCTCTGTCTGCTACTATGCATGTCATGTTTCAAAACTGCATAATGTAATGATAACATTGTTGTGTCTTCAGGGCCACAGTGCTGACGCCTGGGAGCTGATCAGGAGGGAAGTCAAAGTCTGTCTAATAAAAGCAGACCACCTGGTTTCCTCTCTGCTGCCCTCCAGCTAAAATATTGAACAAAGATGTCACAAATTATTTATTTATCTCAATATTATCATGTGTTTTATGATTGTGAAGACGCTGATATTTATCGTCATGTGTGCAGTTTCTTTATTTTTATTTTATTTCTCCCATCTTTTGATTACTTTGTACCTTTCATGATAGCTTTTACTTATTTATGTATTTATTTATTCATTTATTTACTATGTTGGCATTTTATGTATTTCCATTTGTTTTCAAATCATTGTAAATCAATTAAAATAATCATAATACACTGTTAAAAATGTAAAAAAATAAAATAAAATGATCTCATTGTCAAAAAAAATGTGTTCTGTTGTTGTTGCAGAAACACGACAGGTGTGACGGTACTATTATAGTTAGGCAGTATCTCATGATAATAGTATTAATATTATAAAGAGATAGCAGGCTATCTCAATAACCTCATTATAATGAGATAATTGTAATATCCTTATAATTAAAGATTATAATGAGATCTCTAATACTATTATACGATAGTATCTCAATAACCTATTTATAACCAGATAATTATAATGATTTAACTACTAAACATAAATATAAAAAGACCTAACTAATTAACAGAACATGTATAAAATGACCTCATTCACATTGAAATGTTCACATGTAAGGGTGATAATAGAGACATACAATTATATTTCCACCACAGAATTCCGTAAAAACTACTAGTGCATTTGACCATAGAAGAAAGTAGAAATGCAAAAATGTTTTTAAACTGTAAATGTTGCTCTCGTGCTGAGCACTCGGGTTTACTCCTTTTAGAAAGTCCATTGAAGGCATCGCAGATCGCTTGGTTTCCCATGATGCATCGGTTTTCAGTTAGACTGCAACAGGAGGAGGAGTCGGTTGTGTTTGAGGTTTACGGGTGTGTTTTTCTGCGTTACAGCGCTTTCACAGAAAAACTGGGGGAAACAACTGTGCGGACTGAGATTCGTTTAGTTACATAATGCCCCTTTAGTGAGTTTACATCAAGTTCCCGAAGAATACCGACGTGGTTTGGGGAGTCTGGAGAGAGGTTAGCCAAACTGTTTCGGTAAGTTAGCCAACCGATGTGCTAATTTAACGCCGTATTGCAGCTCCAAAGTCGATTGTAGGTTATAGTTCGGACAAAGCTTTTATGGCGTAACCTCCGTAGTATGTTGGCCACAGAGCATTTTAGTGTCTTATGGGTTTAATAAGCGATTTTATCTGTCTTGTTGATATACATGAAGTCACATAGCTGAACACAGATATGTGGTACCAGTGTAAACAAGCTTTCACTTTATTTATTTGAAAAACGATTCACTTTCCTGTTCTGTTGTTGTCATTAGTTGGCCTTTGGAATGAATAAACTATAGTTGAATTGAATTACATCTTTTTGTGATTGCAATGTAGCTCAGATAATTAATCCAGCCTGGAAATTTAACTCGCTTACTATATTAAAGCTGTTTTTTTCATTCTTATTATTTCGCAGGGCTCATTATTTCATTGAGGAAGTTATTTCTGAAGCTTCTGTAGCTACTTCCCTGCAGACAGACACCATCGTTAATCAGTGCCTCACATGACTCAGTTACAAAGCGGTAACTCACAAAGACCATAAAACTGCAGCTATGTAAGAAGGCAGAGTCCCATGATAAGGAAACACAAATATAGTCTTCTGCTGGGAACAAGTAATTAAAAAAAAGATACCGACTCTTATTCTGTAGTAAATTTGGATATCAGATGTACTTGTGAACCACAATTACTGTAAGTGAGTGTTCAAACTTAGTTTTTGTGTGTTTTAAGGTGCCATGTGAGAATAAACCTTCCCTTGACGTGCCATGCTTGCCACACAGATGCCAGAAACTCTACCAGAGGCCAAAGATGTCAAACAGGTAAAAATCTAAATATTTTCATAAGCAGTTGAAGATTTTTCTTAGTTACTGTCAATGTTTCCTCACTTCTTTTAAAGCTGCTTCTTGCGAAGTGATTGTGACACTCGGGGAAACCTGTTGTAAATTTTGTTGCTCTCATTATGTTCCACAACATTTGAGAAGCCTTTAGAGGACTTCTCTCTCAGTATGACTTATTTGCTGTGTCATCACTGGAATGTTTGAATGTCTTGCGAAGTCTCAAATTTAAACTTCTCAATCGTACACCTTAAACTGTCCAGATTTCCAATTCGTACTTCAACAGATCTTTTACATTTTAAGATAGTATATATTTGCATTTTCTTTTTTGTTTGCTTTTGAAATGCACTGGCAGCAGTAATTTGCTCAGTATGTTCCTCTGATGAATTAATATGGGCGCTTTCACGCTCTGATAAAACTAACGATTCAGGACAAAGATATCGTGCACCCCTAAGTCAGGGCAACAGCCAAACCTGTCAGAAGGAATTTATTATCCGATGATCACCCTGTCTTACAAACCTACTAAATAAATCGTCTGCAAAAACTAGCTGTATACTAGAGGCAGGGCTGAAAGTAGGTGGGTAGGGTCAGGTACTGCGCACCTCCACCCCAGTTCCTGCAAGATAGGGGAGCGGCTGTCTGCTGTAAAAAAAATCAATGGGTGCATTGTGTAGCTGTGAGTGCACCCACTAATCAGCCGTGACTGATTAGTTTTTCAAAAACAGTCTAAAACATGATTAAATCGCTTAATAAATAGCTTCCCCCCCCCCATTTTATATTGTTTCTGAACTGTTTGTGGTTTGTTAGAGCAGGGTTGCAATAGGTTGATCGTGGAAGGTTTTGAGCCGATCTTGGCGGCAGGTGACAAACTGAACGCCGCCTGGATGCTGAGACCAGCACGGCATCCTCTGACTCACTTATGAAAACGTCTCTAACTTTATTAAAGAACAACAAAAAAAAATCAACAAAACCTGTTCAAGTTAATGACCAAACAAAAATAATAATTATTGTATCAAGAAGATGTTGCGCAATTCTGTTGATATCTAACGAGTGCTGCAAAAGTACATTACAAGACATGTTCAAAAACTTTTATTAGTCAATAATTCTTAGAATGAACCCATATTCTGTATACACTATAACATACAGATAGTTCATTTTTTTTATCCACTAGTAGCACCACATGCTTCCTGCTTATAGCTTTCACAGAATTGCTTATCTAACCGTACCGCTATGCATTGATCTGACTTCCTCATAGAACCACTAGGTTATCTTGATTTTTCTGTAAGACCGGCTTACCAAAAATGTAATATTTTTTGCTGTTCTTGTGATAACTGAAGGAATGAAATGTCTTTGCATTACAGATATTATGGTGAAAAAAAATAAGGATTTCTCAAAAACAACCAAACATTACAGAGCTGTCTCTGATATCTATTAATACAATAAAACCCTCCCGGTTCTAGAACAAAGGTTTATGTACTTATGAAACCAAACTGAAAGATTTACTTTATTCTTTGTCATTTGTTAGATGAAACTATAGCTCACTAAATTTTTTACCTGTCCAATGTAAGTAAAATCTCTGATTGTGTTAGTTCGTTAAGCCATTTATTCACTGTTACTTTGCAGGATCCTCAAATCGGCATGCTGTCAGTTATTGTTTTTTTTTTTGAAGATCAGAAGTGATGCGTCTGTGAGATAGCAGGAAGCATACATAACTCTGTGGTAAAGCTGGGTTTTAGTATTACTTCTACTTAGTTGTATACGCAGTGGTTCATGAAACATATTCACTTCAACATAATTTTTCTAAAATGTTCATATTTCGCACATTTCTGCATATTTATTGATTTGTAAAATTTGACCTTTTTTTTCAGATTAATGTTTTTGTAACGCTCCACATTTTTGTCAGAAATATTATCTGTACAATCTGTGTGGAACTTTCCAAATCCATGTTTTCCTGGCATAATGTTTTGATTGTCCAACAGGGTCATGGTAATCTTCTCTTGTGAGAAAGAAAACCTCTTTGGGTTTATTTTAGTTGTCAGAAGGGAACTGAGTAAAAGCGACAGTTCACACTTGTTTCACATTGTTCAGCAGCATTTATTGTGATGGGCATTTGCTATTTATACAACTCAATTGTATTTCTGTAAATCAACTTCACTACAATGATACGTAAAAATTTTATAATTCTGCTCTTGCTACATGTCATATGTAGGTACATGCAGATATTTCACTGTGTGGATTAAAAAGATGTTGATGATCTGCTAAAGAAGAAAGTTGTGATATCATATTTAAAGCAGCGTCAGTCCTTTAGTGTCTGATGCAGTTGTGCAGATGCATCAGTTTTAGTTTCTTTTCGTAACGTACTATTTTTTTGTTTACCTTTTTACGAAGCATACAAAAAGAGTAATGTATTATATTGGTATGACTTTCCACATTTTGCTATGTGACAGTCACTGACTTCAAAGTATCTAACTAAACTGATGGAGCATTAATGAGAGAGGTATTCTCGCTAATTTTTTCAGTATTTTGATCTACTTTCTAATGGTCTACCACATTAAATCCCAATAAAATACTTTTGCAAGATGTATGTTTTGAAATAAAGTATTCTTTTAGGAGTAGCAAGAAGCCTCTGCAGTGCTCAGAATGAACAGCTGTCACCAATTTCAATGTTGTTTAAAAGAATCAGCTTTTTCCACAAAGTGTTGTGCAACATTGCTTTGGATTTTATATTGTAATGATCTCCTTCCATCTATGTCAGCTGAGACATATGATATTAGATGACCCGTGGCCTGGGTTTCATAACAGTACAGCGTTGTCAACAAACTCTAATCCAGAGTACATTCTGTGCAAATGTTGTAAAAAAACCTGCCTCTCATCAGCTTCGTTTATTATTTTGATTTTATTAAGAGGGGGGAAAAAAGTTGATGTTTCTGTCTGTTCTATGTTCTCACCCAGATCAAAGACAAGTTGGCCCAGTCTCTTAAAGCCCTCCAGAAACGATACGTGACATCAGATGCCGTGGTCACCAGCGAAGACGAGAATGCTAATCTTCTTTGCTCTGCTCTGGAGGCCATTTTCATTCATGGGATCAAGAGCAAGTATATCCGCTCCGAAGCTGGAGGCCGGAATAGGAAGGGGGACAGAGGAGTCCTCCCTCAGCCTTATTTCTGGAGCCTCCTCAAGACGGTCACCCACCGGTAAGCAGATATGGAGAAATAAATCATAACTGAATGTGAAAACACTAAACAGATTCATTTAT